CATTCACCCTCAGCTATTGCACATGTTTTTAGTGGTAGGGGAAACCGGAGTACCTGGAGGCAACCTCCACAGAGATGGGGAGAACATGCAAACTCCACTCAGAAAGGCCCTGTTCCGACCCCAGAACCTTCTTGCTGAGAAGCGGGAGTGCTAACCACTCAGCCACCGTGCCACCCTATTCTTAACTTACCAAGCACTGTAAACCCTGACAAGTAAAGTTTCTTGAAAAAACCTTGGAAATAAATTGCATATTAACTTCACTTTAATTCCTCGAGTACATCCTTTACTTGATATTACCAAGTAAACTTAAGTGATTGCGATAAAGATTTGATTTCAACTTCGTAATTAGAAACTTAGCATCAAGAGGCGATGGTGTTACCCACTCAGCCACTGAGCCACCCTGCCATTGACACACCTGCCTCATTAAAGACTCTATACGTCAAAATGTCAAAAGTGAGGCTTACTTGAACAGTTCAAAGAAAACCCTGAGTGATATAGCCAAGCTTTAAATAAACTAACAATAAATGAGTAATATTTACTTACTGGGAAAAATCTGTTTAAAATAACTTTGATATCTGAAGTAGGATTGAAGTTAGGGTTTGCAGTGAGTGAACTCAATTGATTGCAATAAAGTTTGACTGTGATTTAGACTTAAACATATATCAGAAAGGCACATCTCCGACACGGATTCGAACTCAGAACCTTTTTGCTGAGAAGCGAAGGTGATACCCACTCAGCCACATGTTGCCCTGCTTCATAAATAACTGACATTTTCAACACTGAACATGTTCAAAATATCAAAAGTGCGGCTTACTTGAACAGAGACAGCTCAATTCAAAGCTTTAATTGAACAAACAATAAACGAGTAATATTTACTTAATGGGAAATATCTATTTTAAGTAACTTTGATATCTGAAGTATTGAAGTTATGGTTTACAGTAGTTTTCTTTGTTTGTTCTCTCTCAGCTTTTTCTCTCTCACTGGTCTTTCTCTGGTCTATCTCTGGTTTCTCCTTGGTCTCTATCTATATGCCTCTCTCTGGTCTCTCTTTCTGGTCTCTCGTCCCCTCTGGTCTCTCTCTGGTCTCTCTCTATCTTTCTCTCTCTGGTCTCCCTCTCTCTTTCTCTCTCTGGTCTCTCTGGTCCCTCTCTGGTCAGACCACAAAACTCTTTCTGTTGGGACAGACATGTTATATTGAAGAAAGAATAAAGTCATGTACCCCAGCTTTAAGTTGCAAACATATGTTCCACCCTTAGCTCCTCTTGGTCCTCAGCTCCTCCTGATCCTCAGTTCCTCTTGATCCTCAGTTCCTCTTGATCCTCAGTTCCTCTTGATCTTCAGTTCCTCTTGATCCTCAGTTCCTCTTGATCCTGAGTTACTCTTGATCCTCAGTTACTCTTGATCCTCAGTTCCTCTTGATCTTCAGTTCCTCTTGATCCTCAGTTCCTCTTGATCCTGAGTTACTCTTGATCCTCAGTTACTCTTGATCCTCAGTTACTCTTGATCCTCAGTTACTCTTGATCCTCAGTTACTCTTGATCCTCAGTTCCTCTTGATCCTGAGTTACTCTTGATCCTCAGCTCCTCTTGATCCTCAGTTCCTCTTGATCCTCAGTTCCTCTTGATCCTCAGTTACTCTTGATCCTCAGTTACTCTTGATCTTCAGCTCCTCTGGATTGTCAACTTCTCTAGACCCTCAGCTCCTCCTGGTCTCCAGCTCCTCCTGATCCTCAGCTCCTCTAGCTCCTCAGTTCCTAGATCCTCAGCTCCTCTTGATCCTCAGCTTCTTTGGATCCTCAGTTCCTCTAGATCCTCAGCTCCATAGACCCTCAGCTTCTCCTGATCCTCGGCTCGTCTCGATCCCCGTGTTGATGCTGTGTGTGAGGCTAATGGCTCCAAAGTCTTTTGTCTAAATATTGACCGTTGGGACGTTTTGAGAGGATTGGAGTGAGAGTTTAAACAAACACAGGGTCAGTGCCACTCAGCGCTCCATAAACACTGAGACGGGATTAGAACAGACCCGACTGGAGACGAGAGCTTTCCTCTTTTTATACACACTATACTGAAGAAGACAAATCCTGCTTTATCTCTGGTCATCAACAATTATAATGAGACTTATCACTTTTTCATTTCATGTTTTAGAATGAGAAATAGTATCAGAAAAACTTTTGGTAAAATTTCAGTAAAAAAAACACATGGAGAGACAGAAATGAGTAACTTTCATTCCCATTTTTAGAGTCTGAGACAGGAGCTTTGAGACAGAAGGGGCGGAGCTACATGTTTGGGCCAACAGTCCCTTATATTAGTGGGTGGATCTAAAAACAGCTTCAGGTCTGTGACTGATGAAGAACACAAGTTTTGGATACTATATCTCCTTTAAACTATGATCTCAGGGTTGTTAAACATAAAATATCAGAGTAAATACTAGATTAGGGTTAGAATGAGCACAAACACAGTGTTTACTTCGTGTTTCCTTTAAAACTTCCACCACAGAAGACCGTAATGTCCTCGTCCTCTTTAATCAAAACCTTGGTTTGGCGGCGGAAATCAAAGATGGTGGCGCGATAGTGGAGCGGAAATGGATGAGGCTCTTCCGGTCCGTTATCTGCGTCTGTTTTTATTATTCTCTTCTATGCTGCGTTATCGTGTGTGCGGCTCCTGAGATTGGACAGAAGGTCATTGCAGGTTAGACAGAGCTAATGAAAACACAGATTTATGACCAGGCACTTTCTCTGGTCTCTCTTTGGTCTCTTTCTGGTCTCTCTTTCTCTCTGGTCTCGCCCTGGTCTTTCTCTAGACTCTCCTTGGTCTCGCTGTGGCAACTCTTTCTCTGCTCTGGTGTCTCACTGTCTCTCTCTCTCTCTCTCTGTCTGCTCTCCCTCTGATCTCTCTCTGGTCTCTCTCTGATCTCCCTCTTGTGCACTTGTGTTTCACAGCAAGTAGGTCCTGGGTTTGATTCCACCTCCTGGCCTTTCTGTGTGGAGTTTGCGTGTTTTCCCCTTGTCTCTGTAGGTTTCCTCCGGGTGCTCCTGTTTCCACTACCACTAAAAACAAACAATAGGTATGAATGTAATGAATGAGTGAATGGATGGTGTTTGGGGATTTGATGCAACGGCGAGTTCGGCGTCACCGTGTGGAGAGACCGGAACAATATCTGAACTCTCAACAATTGTAAAGCACAATTACTTCCTCTTTGGTCAAAGTATATCGTCTCTTTATCATTTTTGTGTTAAAGTTTGGAATCTTTGGTGATTTTAATTTGTTCCCAGAATGAGACCTGATTTAATCGATAGTCCTGACCATCTTTAGTCCTGGTGTAAATCTCCTTGAGTCCTGGTTTAAATCTCCTTGAGTCCTGGTTTAAATATCCTTGAGTCCTCCATGAGTCCTCCTTAAGTCCTGGTTTAAATATCCTTGAGTCCTCCTTGAGTGCTGATTTAAATATCCTTGAGTCCTCCATGAGTCCTCCTTAAGTCCTGGTTTAAATATCCTTGAGTCCTCCTTGAGTGCTGATTTAAATATCCTTGAGTCCTCCATGAGTCCTCCTTGAGTCCTGGTTTAAATATCATTGAGTCCTGATTTAAATCTCCTTGAGTCCTCCTTGAGTCCTGATTTAAATCTCCTTGAGTCCTCCTTGAGTCCTCCTTGAGTCCTCCCAGAGTCCTGGTTTGGCTGTGTAGTGTAACAGGTGCCTTGAAACCACACTTTCACTTTCATTCCTGGAGCCTCGGTCACTTCCCACTTCCCTCCGTAGTAAACTGTGTGTGTATTTTTACCCTGCTCCTTCGTGACGCATACTCTGTTTACTGTGGTTCTCAACATGTGGCCCACGCCCCTCCTCTGCGGCACGTAGAAACACAACATCACACGAGCCCAACTCAAGCTGCTGGTAAACTGTATATTTAGACATGGCGCAATTATCACCAGTACACATATACAAGAGAAAGAGAGCAGAATGACCATAGAGAGACCAGGGAGACAACGGATCTTCAATTCAAATAAATGTATTATTGTATAGCCCTAAATCACGACAGCAGTTATCTCAGAGGACTTAACAAAATTGTTGAATTCGCCATCATAGATCAAAAAATCAAACAGTTCAAACACAAATAATAGAGAACACATAGGTATTGGTCCATAAGGCGGAGTAGACCAATGACCATGTGTTGATAAATGTCCATAAATGGATAGAGACCAGAGAAATATGAGAGAGAGATCAGAGAGAGACTGGAGAGAGACCAGAAAAAGAGATAGATTGAAGATATATCGGAGTGAGACCAGAGAGAGAGATCAGAGATAGACAAGAGAGGGACCAGAGACCAGAGACTCAAGATGAGAGAGATAGACCATAGATAAGACCAGAGAAAGACCAGAGAGCGACCAGAGAGATAGAGGCCAGAGAAAGACCAGAGAGAAAGATCATAGAGAGACCATAGAGATCAACCAGAGAGAAAGACCAGAGAGAGAGACCATAGAGAGACCATAGAGATCAACCAGAGAGAAAGACCAGAGAGAGACCATAGAGAGACCATAGAGATCAACCAGAGAGAAAGACCAGAGAGAGAGACCATGGAGTGAGAGAATGACTAACGAGTGAGATCAGAGAGAGACCATAGAGAGACCAGAGAGAGAGAGACTAGAGAAACCAGACCAGAAAGCTTTGATTGAGTCAGTCCTGGTGTGGTCCAATCCTTCAGTCCCATAAAAGAAAATTTGCCCCAACTAGCTTAAATCATTCAAATTGTGCGTGCGTCTTTGTGTCGATGTCTGTATGTTGGTGTGTGTGTGTGTGTGTGTGTGTGTGTGTGTGTGTGTGTGTGTGTGTGTGTGTGTGTGTGTGTGTGCAGTGTGCACGCATGCTCTTCAGTCTCAGTGCTCCAGTGACTCAGGTGGACGTTCTCTGATCTCTCGCTCACGGACACTTTGAAGCTGTTCATTAAAAGCTGTGTGACACCTTCTCACTGGACGTTGGTTACATGCACCAGGTCCCGCCTCCTGCACCATGTGGAACCAGGTGCCAGTGACTCCACCACAAAACAAAGCGCAGGTCTACAGGTACTGAGTCAGCCCTGCGTACAAAGTTCAAGCGTATCTGTTGTTGGTTCGAGTTTTTAGAGAGGACACAGTGTCCTGGTCAAGGTACAGATTTGGAATGTGTGTTTTTGGCTCTAAAATAAACCCAGATATCTTTCTTTAGCCCTAAATGGTGAGTGTGACAAAAATACTTACTGGGCAAGAGGGGTCTACTTTTCAAGTACAGTATGCTGGACCATGACTGTCACCCCCTGCAGGACACTCTCTCTGCTCTGGAGAGCAGTTTCAGTGACAGACTTATTTACCCTTGCTGTGTGAGGAAGAGGTTTCGCAGGTCTTTTCTTCCTGCTGCTGTCAGACTGTACAATGAGAACTGCTGAGCCTGTAAATGTCATTCATCTCTAAATAAGTAAATGGCAATCATGTGCAATACTGAAACTTCAGAATGTCCACAGAATGTCACTTTATCTACTTCTTATCCTGCCCTATATGTACAGTTTATGACTTTGCACTTTGCAACTTTGTGTCCTTGGGCAAGAAACTTAACCCTACTTTGCCCAAAGCCCCAACTGAAAGATCAAGGTTATGCTCACACTTTAGAGCACTTCAGGTCACGGCAGCAGAGGTGGTTCAGCCTCTGGGTGGAGCAGGACGGGTCACAGCAGTAGAGGTGGAGCAACTTGGTTCAGGCCATTTTCTCTGCTCTGGTCCAAAGTAAAATGGCAAATGCTTTGCTGGCCTCCCTCCACTGGATTTTTGCCTAATTGGTTCATACTAGAAACTGTGTGCACAAGCATACTGCTCTCAGTCCTCCCCTGCTGCTGCAACACATCAGCAATCAGTCAGTCCAAATGAGCAGGCAGTATTTAAGCACTGCCCTGCATTGAGCTTTCATGGTGCAGTAACACCACCAGGGTCTACACCCCAGGAAACTACTACCAGGGAACCACCACCAGGGTCCAGGTCCCCCCGGAGGATTAAAGCTCATAATCTCTATTTCGCCTCATCACAGTGCTCTGCTGGGTCCAAGCACCAAATTTTATGAGATGAAATGAAGGAGGACCCAAAATGCAGGAATGCAAAATAATGACTTAATGATAAATAAGTCCAGGGTAAATGGACCAGCAACAAGTGAGGAAGAACACAAAGTAGATACAGGTGACATATTAGGACGGGCCGGGGCAGACAATCAACAGGGGAATAAGAACCATGTACAAAATAACAATCCACACCATGACACCAAATCATACCTTATTCCATGTACAACAGCAATTAACGTCATTCCTGTGAATAGTGTCTGCAGAGTTATACAGTCACAGAAATGGCAACCAATAAAAACAATTCTTTTAACCCCTTTTGTCTGTTGATATTCTCTGTTGAATGGTTTGTGAGTTGATTTTGCACACTTTTTTAGACTAACTAAAAACTAAAAGCGCTGCACGAACACAGACAGCTCTTTGCAAGGGAACATTATGCAAATGACATGCAAATGAGAAGGTCCGTACGAACGTGTTCAATTCATGTATTTGTGTATATCCCTATTTTACAACCGCAGTCATCTCTGAGGACTTTACAATGTTGTTAATTCAACAACAACATATAAGAGGATTAAAAAGTCTGAAATGTAATAACAACAAACACAAAAGGGGGCGGAACGACCACTGTCCACAAATGTTAATACATGTCAATAAATGTCCTTAGACCCTTCTGCATCTGCAGGAGACAACTCAAAAAACCAAGTGGGAAACAAGTGAGACACTAGATCCGCTCCACGGACATACAGGCCGTAGACCCAGGACTGAGGCTGTAGATCCAAGACTATAATGTAATAATGCTTTTTTTGTAGTGCTTTTTTGGACTGTATACTACTGCAGCCACAGCTGCTCTGGGGCACACTGTCTGAAGCGAGGCAACCATGTGCCATCGCCCCCTCCGACCACCAACCATTCACACGCTCACCGGACTCATTCTAGAACCCGGACTTTAGGCTGAAGATCCAAGACTGAGGCTGTAGATCCAGGATTGAGGCTGAAGATCCAAGACTGAGGCAGTAGAGAAAGGACTGGAGCTAATGCAACTTGTGCAAGTGTAAGTTTTTAACACACTCAAACTGCTTTGTTTAATGTAATAGCTTATAAGTATAGTTATTGTTAGAGTAGTCGGTATATAGAGAGTTATACAGTCCTAATGTTGCGTTATTTTTTAACAAACTACTTTTTGTTTTGCGTCGGGCACCTGTCTACGTCACAGAGAGAGCGTGTGGTTCTCAAGCAGAGGGGCGGACCTGGCACAGCGCTCTCCTGCCTCCTCGCTCCTGGCTCCTCGTTCCTGGCTCCTCGTTCCTCGCTCCGCGCTCCTCGCTCCAGTCTCCAGTCTCCGATGCAGAGGCTTTGGCACCGGTTTGGCACAAGCGCGCGTCAACTTTTACGCAAGACTCAGAGCACGGATATAAACCTTCGTGTGGATTACTTAACTTTTTATCCTCATTTTAGTCTGGAGAGAGAGTAGTGAAAAGAGGAGACTTTCACCGCTCAGTTATTGGAATATGTTTTGATGCAAGAGGAGAGCGGCTGCTGCTTCCAAACAGGTGACAACACGACTCAATTATAGACAATATTAAGTTGTATTTACTGATTTAGAATGATTTGATGTATTCGTTTTAATTTATTTCTCCCCATTCTACACTCGACACGTCTTTATCCACACACAGCCAATCGGCACTCAACCCGAACCGTCAAGTAGCGACTCACAGGGCTCTTTCTTTTACACTGAATCTTTTCTTATGAGATGAAGACGTGGTCAGATCTGGTCATAAAAATGTAAAAAGACTCATTCTGTTTAAACCAGTGCGTTTTTCTTTCCCCCTGGTTATTGTAAATATCCCTCTCTGTATTTCCCTGTTTTCCCGTGGTCCTTGAACGCACCCCTGCTCTGCTTCAGCGCTGTGATATGTGTGGAATTCTGTGTCTTTGGGCTCTAAACGCGGGCCTCGTCAGCACCTGCTGCTGTCTCTCCTCTGCATCACTTACGGGATCTTTTAGACTCGGATCTGGTGCAGAATGTGGACTTAAGATTTTGAGGTCTAAACTTTTTCTCTCTGGTCTCTCTCTCTGGTCTTTCTCTGGTCTTTCTCTCTCTCTCTCTCTCTGGTGTGTCTCTCTCTCTGGTCTCTCTCTCTCTGGTCTTTCTCTGGTCTCTCTCTCTCTCTCTGGTGTGTCTCTCTCTCTCTGGTCTCTCTCGCTCTGGTTTTTCTCTGGTCTCTCTCTCTCTCTCTCTCTGGTGTCTGTCTCTCGCTCTCTGGTCTCTCTCTCTCTGGCCTCTCTCTTTCTGGTCTCTGCTCTCTCTCTCTCTCTCTCTCTCTCTCTCTCTTTAGTCCCTCTCTCTCGCTGGTCTCATTATGGTCTCTCTTTCTCTCTATGGTCTCTCTTGTCTTTATCTCTCTGCCTGTCTCTGGTCTTTTTTGTTTTGATATATCCTGCCTCTCTCTGATACTCCCTGGTCTCTTTCAATCTGGTCACTTTCGGTCTCTCTCTCGGGTCTCGCTTAGGTCTCTCTGGCCTCTCATGTCTTTCTCTCTCTGGCCTCTCTCTAATCTTTCTCGGGTCTCACTCTTGTTTCTCTGGTCAACTCTCTCTATGTCTCTGTCTGGTCGTTCTCTCTTTGGTCTCTCTACTCTCTCTCTCTCTCTTGTCTCTCACCCTGGTTTCTCTCTGGCCTCTCTTCTCTAGTCTTTCTCTCTCTGGTCTCTCTCTGGTCCCTGGTAATGATCTAAAAACAACAGGACATCTATGCCTCTTTCCCTCTGTTCTTTTGGCTCCTGCTGAAATACTCGCACACATGTCTCTTGTGGACAGCTCATGTGTGGAATATGCAAATGAGGGGCCCTTCTCTTATCTGTGAACGATCTTATCTCCACCACAACTGTCCCCAGACACAGAGGCCTTCACCAGAGATTTACTGCATGCAGGACAGCAAAGCACCCCAAGACCAGAGTCTGTTTATAAATGGACAATGTTAATCCGCTAGCTCAATGATTATAGGGAATATGGAAGTGCTCATGGACTAAGTTTTGCTCCAACTCCCTCCATTGTGTATGTGTTCGTGTGTGTATGAGGTTGTCTGTCTGTGTATATCAAATGTGTGAGTGTTTGTGTGCGTGTGTGTTTGTTATGTACAGCCAGTGTAAACCAAGTTAAACAATTCTCTCTCAGTGAGTTTCGATATTTGCATTTTGAGTTTTGATCTCTACAGTGCGGTCTTTGTTCTGTCCGTCACCTCTGAGTGTGTAGAGCCGAGCGACAGTTGTGTGTTTGCATTTGGGTTGAAGACGAGGATGTAAGTCACACACTTACTTAAAGAAGACATACCATGCTCCTGTCTGTCACCTGTGGTACACTCATAGAACGTATATGTATCAGCTAGCTGGAGCCAATTCCAAGCTCCTTCCCCCTCGATTTTAGGCACCTGATTGCTCATATCTGGATTTACAAAGTCAGTGTGACACAAATGGTTACTGAGTTAGAGGAGTTTACTTTTCTATGAAAGTCAATTAGAGCTAGAGTGAGCTAGCGGGTTAGTATTGTCCACCATTGTCCAAAAAGTAAAATCCTCCAGGTGTATTCCTGACCAGGCCAAGTAAGTATCCATATCGGGAGATGGGCCCTGGGCGAAAAGTTAAACCGATGCATATCATTTATTTTGTCCAATCAGGAATCAGGGTTGTTCCACCTTGTTTTAAGGGCTTGGAACTTTTCAATTCAGAGTTCCATTTTTATGTGTTCTTGACATCATTAGGTCCAATTAGGTACAGATCCTTGAACATGAACACAGCACAATCAAATCATTAAAGTGTTATCCTTTCTTTCAGGATGTTTGCTTCCGGTCTAACACTGCTGCTCCTGTGGATTCTGGCCGTCCCTGCGTCCTCCGAGTGCGACCACTCGTCCGAAACCTCCAAACTCAACCTGAGCGTGGCGTACGAGCTGCCAGTATTTCAATCGCAATACCCTGTCCACAACATGGTCGCGCTGGATGGAATCGTGTACGTGGGCGCCACCAACCACATCTACGCCCTGTCCCCGAACCTCACCATCCTGTCGGAGTACCGCACCGGGCCTCTGCGCACCAACGAGACGTGCGGCAGAAGAACCAGCAACTCCACTGTCGACAACCGCAACGTCGCTCTGGTGACGGAAAACCACTACGACAAAGGCTTGTACAGCTGCGGCTCTGCGGACAACGGGGTTTGCAGACGCCACGTATTGAACGAAGAGGATGAACCCGACCCCAAAACCGTCGACGATGAAGTGTATTGCTTTGCAGATAAAGTTGGGCTCGGCAAAGGTGTGCCGCTGGACTCCGATGTCGTCGTCAGCGCATCTGGGTCGCAAGTTCTCAACGTAGAAAGCAACGTGATCCAGTTTTTTGTGGGGAATTCGCAAATCCCCGGGAGCAACGTGACAGCACACACGCACACACTGTCGGTGCGCAAGATGAAAACTAGTCAAAACGGATTCACGTTCTTCTCCGGCGGCGCGCACCTGGACTTGCTCCCATCACTTCGCGGGGATTACTACTTGCGCTACGTCCATTCCTTCAGCAGCGGGCCGTTCACCTACTTCCTGACCGTACAGCGTGTGAGCAGAGACTCCGCGGCCTACCACACTCGCATCGTGAGAATGTGCGCGTCCGACTCGGTGATCCGGCGCTACGTGGAGATGCCGCTGCAGTGTATCAGGACGGACAAACGCCGACGCAGATCCACGGAGGACGTCAAGGTAAGATTGGATAATTTAAGATAACCCTTAATCGTCTCGCAGTGCGGAAAGAGAACACAAGGAGCACACGTAATATACAGTAGGGGTGTGACGATATATCGATTTTTCGATATATCGCGATACTTTCTCCCGCGATTCGATTATTGATTTGCATTTGCCAAGTATCAATATTTTTTTTTTTTTTTTACATTTAAAAAAAGAAATTGGTATCAATACTTAATATATGGTTACATTACACATCTCCATTTCATTTATCATGAAATAAAGTGTATTTTTTCTTTTATTTATGCCATAAATTGGCATATTGTATATTTCTGACCAATATATCGATAATCGTTATTGTGATATTGTTATCGTGATATCGTTATCGTGAGCTTTGTATTGTGTATTGTATCGTATCTTGAGGTACCCTTAGGTTCCCACCCCTAATATACAGTGCAAGTAGCTGTAATACTTCTTAATAGCAGCAGGTAAACATAAATATATCTATCTATATGTATATGTACAGCATATATAGAGTAAACAATATACATTTATGGCAGGATAAATACAGTAGATAAAGGGACATTCAATGGACATTCTAAAATTGCAGTATTGCACATTGCACAGGTCTTCAACATCCTGCAAGCGGCATATGTGGGCAAAATCAGAGAAGACGCAGAGTTGCAGAAGCAGCTGAAGGTGGGCCCAAACGACGACGTGCTGTTCGCGGCCTTCGCCAAGGGGCAGCCCGAGTCGCCCGAGCCCACGCAGGACTCAGCGGTCTGCGTGTTCTCGCTTAGTCACATCAACAACATGATCCGGAGGTACATGCAGAGCTGCAGCACCGTGGAGCCGTACCATTTCACCGGCATCGAGCGCAAGTCCTGCTACAACGTGGTGAGCTACGTTCTAAGCTTGAGTTTTCGTTGTTTAAAGCCGTTCTCATCCATGTGTGAGTGTGTGTGTGTTTGTGTTTGGTTTATACAAGTCTTGTCTTTTTAATATTCAGATTCAGCTTCTCAAGAGATTTAGCTTTGAAATGACATGTCATGGTCTTCCACTTCAACCTCATTCCATCTTTGTTTGCCAGTTTACATAATACTTGGAAATAATTTCAAATCATCCCCTGCAAAGACCCCCGTGCATGCCCCTGGTTGATAGCTCCTGATCATGGCTGAGGATGCAACCATAGAACATGAGCTGGTTTTGTTAACTCATTACAACCTTATTTGCTTTGGTGAAATGTGTTGTTCCTGGTCCCATGGTCAGGTCCCTGGTGGCCCCCGGTTGGTCCCTGATGGTTCCTGGTCTCCGTCGTGTTAATCCCATGTTCTCCAGTCCCTCTCATGTCTGGGTGGTCTCCTCTTAATCACATGTATTATCCTCATTCCACCAGCTCTGATTTAAGCCCGACTTTTTTCTGTGACCTGTGGATTCTGACCTCTCTGGTCTTAAACAAACCGGCTCACGTCTGCACATATGAACAGTTTGACATTTTTATGGGAAGGTGGAGGGAGCAAAGCGGCACGGTGGCTGAGTGGATAGCACTCTCGCTTCTCAGCAAGAAGGTCCTGGGTTCGAATCCCGGTTGGAACAGGGCCTTTATAAGTGGAGTAGTGCATGTTCTCCCCGTGTCTGCATAGGTTTCCTCCGGGTGCTCCGGTTTCCCCTGCCACTACAAACATGTACAATAGATCTGGCATGCGCCTCCTGAACTGGCGACCCTGCTCCCGGCTCTGTGTGGAGTGAGAGACAAATGCCCACAATTGTAAATCACTTTGTGACTCTGGTCTGTGAAAGGTGGTATATAATTTTAGATTACTTACTTACTGACTTAAGCTTAGCGTACATCGGACTGGCAACTGATTATATCCGTCGCATATGAGTTGCTGCCCCGCACACATCGACAATCTGACGAAAACGGGCAACTCCCAGTGGCAGACCAGTCTGGGGAATAACAGCGCGTACATCGACAGCAACTGTCCGTCACCTACAGTGTGTTTTCTGACATAAACTGTTGCGGGCTCGCAATACACGCAATACACACACGTTGTCGGAGCGGCGCATGGAGCGCGCACATCGGGTCATATCTCCGAAACTGAGGACAACTAGTTGCCGAAAAGTAGAACACGGGCAACTGACTGAAACTGGAGACCGACTGATCATCTCCAGTTGTAAGAGCGCGCACATCGACCGATTTCGGCAACTGATCATCTCCATCATCTCCTCTCAGTTGCCAAAAGCCGCCTTGCAACTAGTTGTCCCCAGTTTCTCTGTCGATGTACGCTAGGCTTTAAAGTGCAACAATTTTGGAAGATATTTGAAGCGTATCATCTTGATTAAAATATCCCTGTTGTAAACCCGGGAGCATCATGCTGTAGGATTGCTTTTCTTCAGTGTAAGTTTTGCTCGAGACACCTTCATGAGTTTTACAATCTTCAATCTCAGAAGCAAAGCGAGTCTGTAAAAAACTTGAGTATGAGGTTTATCTTCCATTGAAGAAATAAAAGGGGCGCCACCTGCAGTGGAAAAGCAAATCATTTGAAGCTAAGCAGGGCAGGGCCTGGTTAATACTGTGATGGTAGACCTCTGGGAACACCAGGTGCCACAGTGGGGCGGCAGCGGCTGTAAAGTGCCAAACTGTTACCCACATTAGAACGAGAGTTTCATGTGTGTGTGAATAGTTGGCGGTGGTGGGAGGGACTGATGGCAGATGGCACATACCGGTTGCCTCACCTCTGTCAGTGTGCCCCAGGGCAGCTCGTACCTCATCAGACCAGCCGCCACTTGCATGTTCTCCTCGTGTCAGTGTAGGTTTCCTCCCAGTGCTTCGGTTTCCCTTACCACTAAAACCATTTACAGTAGTTCTGAATGTAATGAGTGAGTGATAGATTGGTGATTATTGTTTCTGTCATCACCGTTTGTAGAGGGAGTGGAAAAATCAGTTCCCCAAAACATTGTGAAGTGCTTTGTGTGATCTTGCTCTGTGAAATGTGCGATGTAAATAAGATGGCTTACTTACTCTCTGACTCTTGCTTTTAAGTATGGGTGCTCCTGCTTTGAATAAAACCTGTATTAGTAATGTCATGCTGCATTATTGATACTAATAATTCTAAAATCTTTCTTCTTCTCAATGTTTAGCTTCCTTTCAATCACAATTGGGGGAAAGCTGTTTTGAGTTGATCTCATCTAAATGTGGGTTTATCGTGCCAAATAGTGAAGCTCTAAGACACCCGTGGCTCTTCCCTTTTATGCAGCCTTATCGTACAAGTTAGCAATCAAAGGCTGTTTCTTCTCCCAAGCAACAATGCCTGTAAATTGTCAACTGATTCAGACAAGAGACTGTAAAATGTTTTGAACAAATCAGGCCACAACATGCTGTCTTCATCCTATTAGAAAAACATGTCATATTTTGTTTAAGAAAGAATCCTGTCAGTCACTTTTTGACTCTTTGGGCTGAGGGCTGATTGGCCAAATGAGGGCGGTCCTCCCTTTTTCTGGTTTCAGTCTGAAAAAAGCTTATCTAAAGATTTGAGGGTGGGCAAAAATACATACCTGTAAAAAAGAGAGCGACCAGAGAGAGAGACCTGAAAGAGACCAGTGAGAAAGAGGCCAGTAAAAGAGACCGGTGAGAGGGAGCAGCGAGAGAGACCAGAGAGAGACAATTGAGAGAGACCACTGAGAGAGACCACTGAGAGAGACCAGAGAGAGACAATTGAGAGAGACCACTGAGAGAGACCACTGAGAGAGACCAGAGAGAGAAACCACTGAGAGAGACCACTGAGAGAGACCAGAGAGAGAGACCAGAGAGAGACAGAGAGAAACGAGAGGGAGTAGGGCAAGAGATCAGAGAGAGACCAGAGAGAGACTATAGAGAGAGATTAGAGAGAGAGACGAGAGAGAGACTTGAAAGAGACCAGGGAGAGACTACAATTTGTTATCTCATGCAAAAAACTAAAAGCCACTGAAACCACACAAAAACACCTCCACTCATTCATTTCATCAGATTGTGAAAACACAAATTGTTGCATCAGAGCAATTCCTGGCATTTTCAAAACATGCCGTACACAAAAGTCCACAGAACACAAGATAACAAGATTATACTGCTGTTTTAAAGCTGAGGTACATAACTTTCAAACCACCCAAAATGAAACTCTGTATGAAAATTATGTATAAAAGTTCCTGGCTCGAAACATTTGATTCTATCACTAGTTTTCACTATAGATTGTATATACATGTAGATGGAGAATACTAACCTGCATTATCAGTGAAGCCCAATAGGGATGTGCTCATGGACAAAGTTTAGCTCCAATTCTGCTCCTATTGACTTACGTAACATTATCAGTCATGTAGTGTCTCTGTGATTCCATTCTTTCTTCCTCTCTCCTCTCTCTCTTCTCTTCTCTCTCTATTTCTTCTCCTCTCCTCTCTCTCTCCTCTCATCTCTCCTGTGCCTCCTCGCCCTCTCTCTGCCCCGATCTCTCCTATCTCTCCTATCTTTATCCTCTCCTTTTTTCTCTCCCTCCTTCTTTCCTCTCTCTCTTCTCCTCTCATCTCTTCTCTCTCTCTTCTACTCTTCTCTCTGTCCTCTCTCGCTTCTTCTCTCTGCTCCTCTCTCTCTTGTCCTCTCCTCACTCTCTCTTCTCCACTCTTTCCTTGCTCTCTCTTCTCTCCTCCTCTCTCTTCTCTTCTTCTTTCTTCTCTTCCTTTTTTCTCCTCTTCTCTCCTCTCTTTCCTCTCCTCCTCAATTGTTTTTACAGGTGTCACAAAGATATGCACAAACTTGAATGTATCTGAAATCTGCGGTCAAAAATGTTGTGAAGAAACCCACGTAATGTCCAATGCAGAAATATTGTCATCTCTCACTCACACACACACACATTTCTCTCAAGATCATGTCTAAAAATCCATATTAATTACAGCCTGTTCAGCGTCCAAACCAAACGCATGGACCTTCTGCATTTGCTTTTCTCCCATGAATAACTCTCGTCTCCTTTTGCCGTAATTGGAAACTGGAAAAAACCAAAATGAGTGAGAGCGGCCTGAGCTCCGTCCACACTGTGATTAAGGACGGCTGTTATTAATGTTTGCAATTCTCTCTCCTCTCTCTCCTTTCTCCTCTCCACAATGTCCTTTCTTGTCTTTCCTCCTCTCCTCTCTCCCCTCCTCTCTTTCCGTCATTTTCAAAATTGGAAGAGAACCAAATTCTCCCCCTCCCTCTGGTGGTAGCATAGGGAGTTACAGTAAACAGTAAAACATGAAACGACAAAGTAGACATCCTCATTTTTGTTATGAACAACGAAAAGTAATGCATGATATTTCTTCTTTAAGTTAGCTTTAGTTTAAATGACAAAAAAAATGAATAGAAGATTGACAATAAGAGGGAAGAAATTGTGTTTTTTTCCGGCTTCTTTTGTCTTAAAATTGTGTGTCATGTCCCCTTTAAATATTCATATCGGAGCGGACTGCGGGAATGTGGTGGATGTCTGTCTCTCATCGGAGCGTGATCGATTTGTTTTGAGGCAGAGGACGAGAGCAGCTGGGAATTCAACTACAGACCACACCACGCTGACACTCACCATAACAGGGTCCCTGAAGGCCACCTGTTTAAAGGGCACGTACCATTCAGGATTTTTGTGTGTTTTGACCCTAAAACATGATCTTGAGTCATATTTACTGTTTACGCTTCTCTTTTCTCTTGCCTCCTTTCTCCTTTTTATTCTTTCCCCTCTCTTCTCTCTCTCTCCTCTTTTATCCCTACCCCTCTCCCTCCTCTCCCCTGCTCCGCCCCCTCTCTCTCATCTCTGCTCTCTTTCATCTCTCTTTCATCTCTCTTCCTCTGTCCTCTCTCTCCACCCCTGTGTCCTGTCTTCTCTTCTCTCCCCCTCTCACCTCTC